ATAGTTCTTCATGGGGGTTAATGAATTTATCACTGCCTCAGTGTGCTTCGCTCCGCTGCTGCCAAACTTTTGACGTTTTAACAGGCTGTGTTCTAACTTTGGGCTTTATTTCTTCATTTGTGCGGTTTTCAAACCTTCAGTTAGTGGCTTTAAGTAAAGGGCGAAAGAGAAAGGTGTGATTCTTTGGGTGGGCTAAATGAAGAGACCAACTTTTGCACGCTCAACATTTTCAAACGTCGTAGATTTTATTTTAAGGCAAGTTATTGTTCACCTCTGCTATTACTGCCAGAGTCTTTGCGTTTCTTTGAGGGGAAACTTTTTGCATCTGATAAATCACATGCACACTTTCATTGCCAAAGATGATTGGATGAAATGATGAACGAGGCATTTTGCGGAGCAAAGCGCAAATTGCTCAAATGACTTCGTAACTTCACTTCCCAACCGCTGCGTAATTCATACGCCCCCACACTCCATCACTCTACATATTCCAACATCGGTAAAACAAATGCTGTACTTTTTCTGCTTCTGGATTTGTTTAAAATCGAATTAAACTTATATCGGCTTGGTTTTTTATTAGAATCAGAGCCATTCGCTGAGATATTGGTTTTAACTAGGACAAAAGCTCCCCCCAAAATTGTTTTGTTGGCGACTTTTCAAGACTGTTTCGACATTTTGGTACCATCCGTAACAGTGCTGAAAGTTCATGTGATTAAATATGCTTGTTTGAATAAAAAGGAAGTGTTTTTACCTGAGTTGGATGCAGGACCGCAGCACTGGCCGAGAACCTACGCTGATTTGATATTTTGTTAGTCATTTTATTTTCGGTGGCTTCTTCCACAGACCAATGTCGGGTCGTTGAAGGCAGTGATGGTGGCCGAGCGACTGCGAGCCTGCCTGGAGGAGGTATTAGAACAGATTCTGGCTACATCTAACAAAGATGACGATGAAGTCGCTTTCAAGGAGCGTCTTGCCGGTGCTGTGATGGAGATGCTTAATCGGCCCTCCTTCGGCTTTGACTCGACTGTCAAGGAATTATTAATGGATATTTAAACTTGTACTCTCCCCCTTTTGTAGACTTTCCTAAATTTATACCGATTTTGATTCGGCGGAGCACATATTAAAGTTTTGTCGCCTCTTAATGAGGCTACCCATTTTATCATGTCAAGCTCGATTATTTGTTGTGCCGCCTTTATCATTGTTCCAATGTTGGCTTTCTGTCTTGGTCGTGAGTTTAAAACGATTGGTATAGAGGACAATGTGGGCATTAGTATTCATCTTTAAGGTTAATAAGGTTCCCTCAATATAAAGCTTTGTTTTATGAGTAGGTTTAAAAGTTGTTCTTGCGTCCTCAAGATTTTAGCCTTAAGCAAAGCTTCTCAGTAAGAAAATCTTACTTATTATGTTAAAAAGTGAAACAGGCTTTTGAAAGGTGTTCGACTTATGGGACTCAGCACTATTAGAAGTCGCTTTATGACACTTCTTAAGATAAAAGTTTTTTTTTTCGTACAATGAGAAGAGTTGGACAAGGGTTTGCGGCATTGTGATACTTTTGACGGCAGTCAGTGACGTCTTGGGTCAGATCGAGAAAAACCCATGTGATCGAAATTCCGATGTCGCCTCATACAACGTCACTCTCCTGCACTCAAAACTGCGTGGTGACGAATGGTGCCGCATGGAGGCAGTTGCACTGCACGATCGTGGAGCACGAAGTGGGAAAGTAGTCTGTTGTGCGGTATCCTAGGCTTAGCAGTGGTGGAGGGAGGCACCTCTGTTTGATTGTAGTGCCTCTTCATCCCTCCATCGCAGGTGGCATCTCTTCGATTGGGTAAATCGACGAGAGTTGTGTCGCGGGACATCGTGATAACGAGTTGAGCGTAGACTGTGTAACACGAGATGACGTGCATTAATTACATTCGCTCCTCGGATGCTTGACAAGAGGCGGACAATGGACCCGAGGAGAGGTTGGCTTTTGTTGTCGGTTACTGTGCACAATGATAGCTGATGCATTGCGGAATTGCCTCTCAACAGACTGACAGATGGTCAACACGATGTGGCTTTCACGGTCCACAATGTCTTGCAGACAATGCTGAGAGGGTTAGTCAATTCATCACCCACACCATGCATGCCACGACTGCAAGCCACACACCACCTCATACCCCATCGTCCTTCTAGTCTCTCACATTCGTGGGCAACTCGAACCACTTATCGCATCACCTCTCCTGCTTCTCCTTAACTTCCTTTCCTATTGGTCGATGCACGCTCGCTCTGTGTTGTATGATGCAAGACTTGTTTGGTGACAGTTGCTTGTTTCCACCTCCATTTCCTCTTTCCACCGCACCAGGCACTATTGCACCAAATACCTCCCCATCTCCATCTGTTGCGCCACAGCACGAGATGATGCGCTCCTCCCTACCTACACTGCCATTCACAATCACACCTCTGCACTCACAG